GGAGGGGTGTCAGAAAACAGGGCGAGATCTCTATGTGCTTTCTTTTCAACACTACTGTGTTCACTAATATCCAACTGCATACATGTATATGTGTGTGTGTGTGTGTGTTTGTGAGAGAGAGAGAGAGAGAGAGATGTGTGTCAGAAAACAGTACTGTGATGGAGTCAATATGAGTATCTCTTCTCAAGTGGCGATAATGGCAATTTTTTTCAATTTTTTAGAGCAGTTTTAGGTTCACAGCACAACTGAATGTAAGGTTCAGAGATTTCCCCCTATATTCCCTGTCCCCACACATGTAGAGCTTCTCCCATTATCAAACATCCCTCACTAGAGTGGTATATTTGTAACAATCAACGTACATTGATACATCATTATCACCCAAAATCCATAGTGTACATTATGGTTCACTCTTGGTATTGAGGTTGTATCATTTTATTGGTTTCTTTTTATTATTTATTTATTTACTTATTTATTTATTTTGTGGGGGTTCCCTATGCTTCTCCTTCTGTGCAGCTGTGTGTGTGATTTTACACACACACACACACACACTTACTTCAGAATTAGAGACAGACCCTCTGCTGTGTAGTTCATAGTAGTCACTGTTCATGCTCACATGAACACAAAGGACAGTAAGCACCTCAAAGCCTACTCTTGCTTGTGTTTATCTCCTAAAAAGGTATCCAACTGTAGGGTATATGATTGTCTGATCACTAAGCTGTATACGTGAAAGAGGCTATACTATTTTAATACTCCCTTTCATAGTAAAAGAGCACACCTATTTTCCTATACTCACAAATTATGCAAAATTATATATATTTTATTGTAGCCAATTTAATGATACATATGTTTAAAAGTTTGCATCTCTTTCATAACTAGTTGAGCATCTTCTCAAATATTTAATGACCATTTTTATTTTCTCACCTGTGAATTGTCTATTCTTAGCCTTTGCCCATTTTTCTACTGAAATTTTTTTGGTCTTTTTCTTTTCTATTATTTTTATCTACTTATATATATTTTTAAAGAATAGTTTATTGATTTTTAGAGAGAGAGGAAGGGAGAGGGAGAGAGAGATGAACATCACATTTATCAGCTGCCTCCTGCACATTCTCCATTGGGGATCGAGCCTGCAACCTGGGCATGTGCCCTTGACCAGGAAATCGAACCAGCAACCTCCTGGTGCATGGGATGACACCCAACCAACTGAGCCACACTTGCCAGGATGTGATCTCTTTCTTTTAATTTGCAGAAGGTCTTTATATATTATAGATATAATACTCTTTGTTAAAAATGTTGAAAATATTTCCTCCCAAGTCTGGTACTTTTAAATTCTATTTTATTTTTTTTTACTTTATTTTAAATATCTTATGTCTTTTTGACTTCTGGGTTTTGTATCCTGCTTAGAGATTTATCACACTAAGACTATAACTATATTCTCCTATATATCTATATTTCTTTCTGATTCTTTTATTTCTTTTACATTTAACTTTTCAAACTATCAAAGAATGATTTGAGGTAGAGATCTACTGTCATTTTTTCTAAGCTGGTAGCCAATCATCCCATCATATATTTAATCCTTTCCTTACTGTTTAGAAATATTACCTTTATCAATTACTAAATTTACACACATATAGACACACACCCATGCACACACATACACACAATGCAAACACACAGGTCTCTTTCTGGATTCTATTATGTTTCATTGATCTACTCCTGTGCCCAAACTGTACCTCATTTTTTTTGTTTGTTTTTTAATATTTCTTTATTGATTTCAGAGAGAGAAAGAGGGAGGGAGAGAGGGAGATAGAAACATCAATGATGAGTCATTGATTGGCTGCCTCCTCCAGCATGCTCCCTACTGGGAATCGAGCCTGCAACCCGAGCATGTGCCCTGACCCGGAATCAAAACTCAATCTCCTGGATTATAGGTCAATGCTCAACCACTGAGCTACACCGGCTGGGCTACTTCATTGTCTTAAAAACAGTTGTGTGTGTTTTTTATAAAACTACAGTAATTATCTAGTAGTACAAGTTCCCCTCCCTGTTTCTTTTCTTTTTTTAAAAAATATATCTTTAGATTTCAGAGAGAGGAAGGGAGACGGAGAGAGAGATAGAAACATCAATGATTCAAGTCATTGATCAGCTGCCTCCTGCAGGCCCCCTACTGGGGAACGAGCCTGCAACCTGGGCATGTGACCTGACTGGGAATCAAACCATGATCTCCTGGTTCATAGGTTGATGCTCAACCAATGACCCACACTGTCCAGGCTCCCTGTTCATTTTCAAAATTGTCTTAGCTACTCTTACATGTTTCTACTCCAAATGAACATATTTTTTAAAATCAACAAAAATAATAGATCCATTACATGGGGCAAATATTTTACAGCCAAACCACCTCCTTTTTTCAGACACTTTCTGCTGTTACCCACTTACTTGCTATGATACTCAGCTAGTGGATTTTCATCTTCCACGATCTTCCTGCCTGCAAAGTCAATGGTGATCTTCTTAGAGAGCCTAGAGGCATGTCGAAATTCTCTCAGCTCCTCCTCTCGCTTCTGCAGAGTTTCCCGCTCAATTTTGGACAACCACTGGTTAGAATCACTGGCAAAGTAATCTGACTCATCATCAATTACTTGGGTCCTTCGAACGCTAAGAAAAAGGAAAAAACACACCATGGCAATTAGGTCACCTATGGACAAATAGCAACTTGATTACTGGGAAAATGTTTCAAGGTAGCTCACTCTTATGCTATCCTAAAGGTTACCATCTCAAATATGGACGCTCCAGAATGTTCCAAAACCAAGTCAAGCTCTGCCTGGTTCTTAGCTTCTGCATATATCTTATCCCCATTGCAGGCTCAGCTCAGCTCCTAAAACTAATCTCATCCTCAGGTAGGAAAAGACAGCACCATAATCCACTGTCCTTCTAGCTTTCTTACTATTCTAGTCCTCCTCTTCTGAAAACTGGGCTTCTGCCTGGTTTTGCTGCATCTGAGTTTATGTCTTGGCAGCTTACTTAGTATGGCAGTCCCTCTATAATTGGGAACCAGCCTATTCTTGCTAGTCCCAATTGCTACCCTTTCCCTCAGAAATTGGTGCTCTAATCTGGATCGAAGTCCTGTGGCTTGCTCTTAGAATACCCTACTTACTCTATGTCAGTCCCCCTCCCCAAATCTCCAGTCCCTCACTAATATACTGGCCAAGTTCCAAGATAATCAGGCCTGTTTCTAAGATTATACCAACAAAGAAACTGAGAAGTAGAAAAAAATCTCGATGATTCACTCTCTCATTCTACAGATAATAAACCCAGGGCTCACAGAAATTAAGTGACTACTCTAAAGTCACAAATCAACTGGATTTGTGCATAATTACAAATTTGTAATATACATAGGCATAGGGAAACACTCAAATCATATTCATATATTGATTTTAATTATTCAGGATTCAGCTGGAATTGTAAAAGTTTTAAAGTAAATTGAGAGTGGGAAGCTTAAGAGGGCTCAAGAGAAAATTGGTCCTATATGTGAACCTAAATAATGAAAGTGGTGCCCTTGAACACATCGGCAAAAGGGCAACATCAATAGGGAGACACACTTTTCCAGTTTTTATTTATCAAGAGATGTACTCCATTTCTAATTCTATTTCTTAAGTTAAGTTTTATCGAATAGGGCTAAAAGTGATATTTAAAGGATTAAGAGTAAACATTAAGTTACAAACCTTGTGATGGGCTGACTTAAGAAATAGCTTTCAAAGTGATATCTCATGTATTCACAGCAAACAGTTTGGTAGTAGAAAGTGTGTCTAACCAAACAAAGGCTTATAATGCCAGGGATAAGCTACCAGCTCAGTTACAAGTAAGAGATTCGCTGTCTCTCTAAGAACCTTCACAATCTCAAGTGGCCATCTGAGAAGTGAGTGTTTAAGTCCTATTTAAATATTTTTTTAACCAAAACATGGTCCAAAAGAAGAAAAAAATAAAAGAGAAATAAAAAACAGAACTAGCAAATTCTGTCTCTTAAAGTCAGTGGGCTAAATGACAAAAGTATAGGAGTGTAAAAGCCAATTCAGAAACATTTTAATATATTGATCATTGAATCAGAAAACAAATTTAGCGTCGAAGGGAAGGAGAAGGGTAAATCATTCCTTCCCATGATATGGTATTACCTACACTCTCCCAGAGGGAACTTCTTATAGCTACTCCAGAGTCCAGCACAATAGTTTGCACATGGTAGGTGCTCTAATCTATATGATGGCTGAATGGTAGCAAATGAAACAGGTGGGGAATTATTCAACCCAAATCAACTTTGCCAAAAATAAAAAAATGTTTCAGGGTAGGATCCTTTTGATGGGAGCCCATCTTATTCAAACATGGACTCAAAAAATATATGTAAGCCTCCTATGTAGAGCATCCAGCTGTTCTTTTCCTGTAATCTTTTTCATACTCCATCCCTAAGAATGTATCAAGTGCCAAAATAATGTTTTAATGGGAAGAATCTGTGGACTAGTATACTTCTTAGCATTTGTTATTCTAACCACATCATACCTAGTTCTGTCAAACTCTAACAGTTTGTCTTTATGCTTGATAGCCTTCTCCAGACCAGACTTAAATCGCAACTCTTGGTGAGGAAGGTCCTTGGTAGAGATGTCCACCTTTCCAGAATTCTCCGTCCCTGAAATTCAGTAAGAAAACCAAATGGTGTCAGTTTATAATACAAATTAGTGTATCACTGTGCAGCAAAAAATAAAATCAGAAGATCTGGCTCTGCCCTAATGACCAAAAGCCTTTATTTCAAAGGAAAACAAGTACACAAGCACTGCTTGGCATTGGCACGTAATAGGTTCTCAATAACTGTTAAGTTCCATTTCTTCCCTTATGGAAATTTAGATCACCAAGGGTGCCAAACTGTTTAATTAAACACAATATAAAATGCCTTATAAATGAAAACTTTATTGAGTAGTACTGAATATCACCCTTAAACATACTTTTATATATGGAATATATATAAAATTTATATATATACACTTTTAAAATGGAATAATGGAAGAAAAAAAAGAAATTGCAGAAAGGAAATAGAAATAAGAACTTATTCGATAACGGCATTTAATACATATTATTTAATCCTCACAATAATTTTGTCAGAAAGTTTGTAGTATCTTTGTTTTACAGATAAACAAAGTTCATAAATAATACACTTAACTGAGTTCACTCAGAAATTAGAAAGTAGAAACACAATTTAAACTTAGGTCTAAGTCTAAATAAAGCCCACATTCATTTCTTGGCCCATGTGTTATCTACTTCATGATAGCATACTAGAAATCTCTATATCCCAGGACAATGAGCCAAGATCTAAAATTAGTTAGAAAAACATTGAGGCTATAATGAAGGCTGACCTTTCTCTTTATCTAAAACTCTAGACCTGTTCAAAATCCTGTTGCCCTGGCTGGTGTGGCTCAGTTGGCTGAGGTTGTCCCATGTACCAAAAGGTCCTGGTTTGATTACCAGTCAGAGCACACACCCAGGTTTTGGGTTTGATCCCTGGTTGGGATGTGTGCAGAAGACAACCAGTCAGTGTTTCTCTCTCATTAATGTTTCTCTCCCTCTCTCTTCCTCTTGCTCTAAAATAAATAAATAAACAAACAAACAAATAAATAAATAAAATTCTGTCAGATCTCTTTTAAAATTTAAAAACAGCCATGGCCAGTACGGCTCAGTTGGTTAGAGCATCATCCCATGCACCAAAGGGTCAAGCGTTATGTTCCCAGTCAGGGCATATACCCAGGTTGTGGGTTTGATCCTGGTCAAGGCACGTATGGGAGGCAACCGACTGATGTTTCTTTCTCTCTTGCTCTCTCTCTAGAATCAATGAAAAAAAATCATATCCCACCTGGCAACTGCCAAAATGTTCTCTGCATCTACGAGTCTGTTTCTGTTCTGCTTATTTCTTTGTTTTTTAGATTCAATTGTTGACAGATATGTATTTATTGACATTTTATTGTTCAGTTTTTATTGTTGTTCTTCCTTCTTCTTCTCCCTTCTTCTCCTTCCTCCCCCTCCTTCTCCCCCTTCCTCCTCCTTCTTCTTCCTCTTAAAGACGACCCTTTAACATTTCATAAAATATTGGTTTGGTGGTGATGAACTCCTTTAGCTTTTACTCGTCTGAGAAGCTCTTTATCTAACTGAACTCCTTTAGCTTTTTTTTGTCTGGGAAGCTCTTTATCTAATTCCAAATGATAACTTTGCCCCCTAGAGTAATCTTGGTTGTAGGTCTTTGCTTTTCATCAATTTGAATATTTCTTGCTAATCCCTTCTGGCCTGCAAAGCTTGTTGAGAAATCAGCTGACACCCTTTTTTTTTTTTCTTTCTTAAATATATCTTTATTGATTTCAGAGAGAGGAAAGGAGAGGGATAGAGAGAGATAGAAACATCAATGATGAAAGTCATTGATCGAGCCTGCAACCCGGGCATGTGCCCTGACCGGAATCGAACCCCGATCGCCTGGATCCTAGGTCGACGCTCAACCGCTGAGCCATGCCTGGCCGGGCATCAGCTGACAATCTTATGGGAGCTCCCTTGTAGGTAACTAACTGCTTTTTTCTTTTTGCCTTTAATCTTGTCTTTAACCTTCTGCATTATTATGGTGTGTCTTGGTGAGGGCCTCTTTGGATTCATCTTTTTTGGGACTCTCTGTGCTTCCTGAATTTGTATATCTATTTTCTTCACCAAGTTTTCTGTTATTACTTTTTCAAATAGGTTTTCAATTTTTTATTCTCTCTCTTCTCCTTCCAGCACCCCCATGATGCAAATATTAATATGCTTGAAGTTGTTCCATAGGCTCCATACACTATTCTCATTTGGGGGGATTCCTTTTTCTTTTTGCTGTTCCGATTCAGTGTTTTTTGCTTCCTTATATTCCAAATTGCTGATTTGATTCTCGGCTTGATCTACTTTACTGTTGATTCCCTGTAAATTACTCTTCACTTCACTTAGTATATTCTTCATTTCTGACTGGCCCCTTTTTATGCTGCTGAAGTTCTAAGTTCATTGAGCATCCCTGTAACCAGTGTTTTCAACTCTGCATCTAGTAGGTTGCTTACTTCCATTTTACTTAGTTCTTTTTCTGGAGTTTTGTTCTGTTCTTTCATTTGGAACACATTTCTTTGTCTCCTCCTTTTGGCAGCCTCCCTATGTTTGTTTCTATGTATTAGGTAGAGCTGCTACATTTTCCAGGCTTGGTATAGTGGCCTAATGTGGTATGTGTTCTGTAGGGTAGAGTGGCATGGTCTCCCTGATCACCCAACCTGGGCACTCAAGGTGTGTCCCTCATGTGGGTTGTGTACACCCTCCTCTTCTGGTTGAGCCTTTACTGCTGTTGGCATGTCAACGGGAAGAGTTTACCCTCAGACTGATCAGCTACAAGGACTGGATGTGACCACAGTGGAGGATCAGCTGTGCAGGGTTCCAGCCCACAGAACAGGAATTACTTCAGTGGAACTCTGGTGTCCACTGAGTCCACCCCTTGAGTGTGTTGCTTGTGGGAGGGGTTGTGCTTGCATGTGGTCTGAAGCTGTCCACCAGGTGTGCTGGCTAAGGGGTCTCCCAGGAGGTGCAGGCCAAGGTCAGTTACCACCTGTGTTCTGCCCTTGGCCACCCAGTATGCACTACAAAGCAATCTGCAGATGGCTGCTACTTGTGCTGGGCCTGGAGGTGCCCAGGCAGGGCTAAACTGTGACCTGAGGCCAGATGCTGTTAGTGCTGGGCCTGGGAGGTATGGGACACATGAGGCTAGAGGCTGCTTGTGTGAGAGATTTCAGGAAAATCTGAAGGATCAGCCAAGATAGGCTATTTTTATGAAAAAGCTAGTGGAAACAGCTTGGGTGGGCCCAAAAGTTGGGTAGGGCAGGACCTCATGGAATCATCAGGGTGGGGCAAACAGTATGAACCAGGTTGATGGAGTCTCAGGTACGGTGCCCACCTGCTGGCTCCGGTGTGGGGGGTACTCACCAAAGAAACAATGGCCTCTGCCAGCACTTTTGTCTGGCAAAAAGCTCTTCCCCCTCCCTAGCCCATCCCACTCTTGCACTGATGCCAGATAAATCAGTTTCTCTTCTGGTGCCTTTCAAGCCTCTGCCCAAGAGCTGGAGCTCAGAGGGAGTGATTCTGAGTAAGTCTGTTCATGGGCCCTTTAAAAGGAACTGCCTGGGACTCCAGCAGCCCGCCATCTAGCCTCAGCATGAATCCCCACTGGTTTTACAGCCAGAAGTCATGGGGACTTCTCTTCCTGGCACTGGAACCCTGGGCTGGGAGCCTGGTGTGGGGCTAGGGCCCCTTGTTCCTCAGGGGGGACCTCTGCAGCTGAGATATGTCTCCCAATTTTTACCCACCACAAGCGGGTGTGGGATTAGCCCATTTTGTGTCTCTGTCCCTCCTACCAGTCTCAATGTGGCTTCTTCTTTAATTCACTAATCGTAGAACTTCCATTCAGCTAGATTTCAGGTTGTTCTGAATGATGGTTATTCTGCAGTTTAGTTGTAATTTTGATATCGTGGGAGGAGGTGAGTACTGCATTTACCTACACTGCTATCTTGACCAGAAGTCTCCCTTCACTTTATTAATTAGAAGTCTTCTATAAAAAAGAGCTGTTCCTTCTCCCTCATTTAGTTAATTTGGGATATACATTATTCATTGGATTATAATCCATTACTATTAACAGTTTTTTTGCTCAATGTTATGTGGTTCTACTAATCGTTTTTTAAAAATGCTTATAGAATAAATGAGTAAGCCCGGCCGGGCATGGCTCAGAGGCTGAGCATCGACCTAGGATCCAGGAGATCAAGGTTCGATTCCCGGTCAGGGCACATGCCCCGGCTGCGGGCTAGGCAGCCGATCAATGACTCTCTCATCATTGATGTTTCTATCTCTCTCTTCCTCTCCCTTCCTCTCTCTGGAATCAATAAAGATATATTTAAAAAAAAAAAAAAAAAAAAGAATAAATGAGTGAATAAACTACATCTTGTATACCAGGATATGAGGAAGAGATATAAACACAGATAGAACAAAATGTATTCGTCACCACAGTAATCCAATCAGAAGATTGCTGCTTACCTGACATTAGCTTCTTGAGCAATTTCTGGCTCTTGTTTGAGTCACGTTGTAAAATATCCTGTTCTTCTCGAGTACATACCTATAAAGTAATAGAAGTCACATGATCCAATAGTTATTTATGTTATTTGCTTGATATACTACAAAGTAACCTAAAATTACAAATTAGCTATGGCAATAAAAAAATGAGACTGTTGGTACTTTTTTATCCTGACAAATATACCAAAAAATATATATTCAAATAAGTTTTGCCCCACTCTTTCCATTTCTCCCTTCTTTCATGAAGCATACAAAAAACTGATCTCAATGCAAGTGACACTGAATGACTTGATAGTTAAAAAAGAAAATAAACCTAACCTATTTTCAAAGGAGAAAGATTTGCCATAGAGAATACTGGAAAAAATACTCAATACTTTCTTTTTAAAAAAGCCTTCCAGTTCTAGTCATGAAATCCAAATCTTACAGGAGAAATTATAAGCAGGTATCTTATTAAAAGAAGCAGAGATAAAAGCAAATTACAGTCTGTGAAATCTAATCTAGCTTTTATACTATATATTTTTGTTTCTTTGCCTTTGAACATTATAAAATAATGAATATATTAAGCAAAAAAAGTTCTGGTTATTATAAAGTCACTGCAATTTTAAGAAGGAAAGCAAAGAAGGGGTTACTTAAAAACAGTTTCAGTCTAAGCTTATAAAACTGCAAAGCTTCAAGGCCAATCTGTTTTATGTTACTGTACTTCCTAGCAGTTGCCTTGGTGGCACACAGAGTTTCTGCCAGCAGCTGTAGGTTGTTTCTCTAAAGAAAGTCCCATATGCGAGGACATTTACTGCCATTTTCGGAACATTTCTGATGGTAGACATTACATCTATCAGGTCATCCATTTTCTATCAGCTTGTTCTCTAAGTATACGGAAAAACTAAGGGCTCTAAACAAATCAATTAAAGAGAAGGTAAAACAAAGCAATATAAAATAGATTCCTTCACTAACACCAAATGCCAGCCAGCTCAACTGGTATAATAAGCTTTTTAAAAAATCCTCACCAGATGATATGTTCTACTGATTTCACAGAGAAGGGGGGGAGAAAGAGAGAAAGAGAGAAACATCAATATATGAAAGAAACATGGATCAGCTGCTCACCCCCATCACCACATGTGCCCTCACCAGGGATTGAACCCACAACTCAGGTAAGTGCCCTGACCAGAAATAGAACAGGCAACCTTTTGGTACATTGGACAACGCACCAACCAAGTAACCCATACTGGCCAGGGCTGGCATAATAAGGTTTTTAGACAACTCATTAGGGTGTTTGCAAGAGAGTCATTACTGCTACGCTCTTGGGGTCATTCTCTCAGACAATGCAGAGCTATAAAGAGGAGGTGTCCTAGAAACAAAAGCTCAAATGACACAAAGATTATGTCACAGTGGTTCTGTTCCCTTGGGGATATGAACCACATCCAAAGATTATGACAAAAAATCTTAGGCTCTGAAGTTTTCTTGAATTGAAGTTTATCTGACACAAGACTTCGATTTCTCAACAATATGTATTCTCAAAACCCTTCTCACTAACAGGCCTTATTACTAGGATATAAGCTTGGATTTTTGACTAAAAAATTCCTGCTACGACAGTTTACTGGATATCATAGGGAAGAAATTTACTATGAAAGAGAGAGTACTAAGATGTGAATGTCCCTATTTATTAAACCAAAGCATAGTAGTAAAACAAAATAGAAAAGAAACAATTACCAGAGTACCACAGAATAAGCAAGGGCCAGAACCTTCTTGTTCACAGACTATACGCCCACAGATCAGACAGTTATTGATCAGCTTGTGCTTCTGGCCCAGGCAATCACAAGGGTGGCGACCTGGGATGAGGACTGCAAGCTTGTCTTGTCCCTCTTTTGTGTATAAACTGACAAACTTCGTCTTCTTCTTTAAGGAGTTGCTGTTCTCTTGTGCCTAATTGTACAAGAATATCAGAAATAACACCAAATAATTAATGACAATGAAAATAATCAAAGGACAGAAAACCTTAGTTCTGTTCAACAATAACTTATACACCAGGAGCCAGAAAAGAAGGGAGGGAGAGAAATACAAATTAATTATAATCAAGGGTCTAGGGAAAGATTATGGTCTAGAAAAAGCCTCTAATATACCTTACCTTTTCAGCCCTCTATTACAGCCAGTGGGAGGTAGATGTAGCAGTAAAAGCTGATTATGTGACATATTTAAGCATAGCTAAATTGAAAATCATAAGAAACAAAAATGCCTCCAAAAGCAGGTGATATTCATAGGTTTGGAAATATGACTAAAATAAGAATAATCGATAAAAATAGATTCAATAAGGCCCTGTTTGGGTAGCTCAGTTGGTTAGAGCATTGTCCCCATATGCCAAGTTGTGGGTTCAATCCTGTGTCAGGACACATATAAGAATCAACCAATGAATACATAAATAAGTGGAACAACAAATCGATGTTTCTCTCTCTCCCTTCCTCTGCCTCTCTAAAAATCAATAAATAAAATTTTTCAAAAATAGACTCAAGCCTGGCGTGGCGTGGCGTGGCGTGGCGTGGCGTGGCATGGCTCAGCAGTTGAGCTGCGACCTAGGATCCAGGCGATCAGGGTTCAATTCCCAGTCAGGGCACATGCCCGGGTTTTGGGCTCGATCCCCAGTGGGGGGCATGCAGGAGGCAGCCAGTCAATGACTCTTTCATCACTGATGTTTCTATCTCTCTCTCACTCTCCTTTCCTCTCTCTGAAATCAATAAAGATATATTTAAATAAATAAATAAATAGCCTACCTAAACTAACACCCATCCAACCAATTACTGCCTATCAGCACTGTTCATTTTTCATAGATTTACAATCTATAATTATTTAAAAAAATTTTTTTTGACTGTCTTTTCCACTTTTCCTCTGAACCACTAAAATGTAAACTCTAGGAGAGCAAGAAAGCCTAATGTATCTTGTTTATTGCTATATTTCTAATGCCTAAATCAGTTCTTGACATATAGCAGACATGCAATAAAAATTTCTAAATAACCAAATGAATTGCCTGTAGAAGTTGAAGATAGATTTACCTACAGATCCATTTTTAGGTACAGTTTGATAATCATTACTGGTACTTCCAGATCTGTGAATCTGCCTGAAATTTATTTGTAACCCCAAAATCAATACTTCAGATACCTTCACAATCATTCATGGACATGTACAGAGTGGCAATAAATTTGAGTCACCAAATGCACATATTTCTAGCTAAGATCAAAAAAGGCAATGGTCTGCCTTCTTATTTCAGCTCTTGTACAGTAAACAAGTATTTTTTAGTCTATTTGGTGCCACTTCTTTGCATTTTTGTTTTGTTGGTGATCTCACCACTTAAAATGGCCCACCCCATGCATAGTGCTCAAGTGCCGTCTAGTGTTCCTAAGCACAAGGAGGCTTATGTAGAAAATAGGCATCTTATAAATAAGCATCTTCATGCATGAGTTATAGTATTGTTGGCTATGAGTCAATGTTAATGAATCAACAACACATATTAAATAAAGTGTCTTTAAAGAGAAATACACATAAAATAAGATTATGAACTGACTGGCTAATGGAACTGTTGTGACCAGAGGCTCCCAGGAATCTAACCCTGCATTTCCCATAGGAAGTTCAATATTCACTAATTCAGTACACACTGCAGCTTTAATGAGAAATTACTGTATATGGGATAAACCATTTTTTCAAACTTATTTTCCAAGTTTGCTTAATAAGTACAAAACACTTAAGGACAAAACATAGACTCAGAAACAAGTTGTTGAGAGACAAAATGCTCTGAACGCACTAAGAAATAAAAAATGAAATATTTATATCATTATTAATTTGAAGATTTTCCCTACCCAAGTCTGGAAACTTAAGAGTAACCTCCAGCTTTTGATTTACCTTATGAAACCCACTTAACAGCAAGCATCAAGACACCTTATCCATAACGACCATTAATATAAATAGTGAAATTCTCTGTCAAAGTACAACTGCTATTTGCCACACTAGAAATCTAGATTATAAAAAATCTAGGTTATAGCAATAGGAATTTCACATAGCCAGTGCAGGATTCTTTAATGTGGACTGGATTAACTAAATTAAAAGATTAAAGAATTATAAAAAAAGAAATACTTAAAAGGACTGGCATATATAAATGTAAAAATATTTATCACTATTTAAAAACAGAATTTTTTAAAAAGCACTCTTAGAAAATTGACTTAACGAAGAAAACATAGATAATAGTTCTCATGCTGTTTTCAACAACTTTCTGTCCTAGATGTTAAAAATTTATTAAAAGTTTGTTATCATACTTTATTTCATATTTATTTTAAAATTATGAAATAAAGCTTAAAAAATTTCATCCATTATTCATCATACTAACCATAAAATATTTTCCTGTTTTTATTTTACATTTACCATAACATTCTATATACCTGCAGTCACTACTGATAAAATGTATATTCACACCCACATATAAATATACTTCTTCTACTTTAAAAACAAGTATATTTATTGCTAAGAGTAAAATAAAAATTACTCAAAATAATGTTCAGATGGATTACAAACCTAAAAGTGATGAACATTTTCCCAAATTCTGTATTTTGGAGAATAATTTTATTAGCTGCATAGTATCCTATCAAATGAGGGAATATTTATTTATTGTTAACCCTAACCCGAGGATATTTTTTCCATTGATTTCTTTAGAGAGTGGAAGGGAGAAAGGTGGAGGGAGAAGGGGAGAGAGGGAAGGAGGGAGGGATGAGAGAAAAACATCCAATGTGAGAGAGACACATGGATTGGTTGCCTCCTTCACACACCCCGACCCAGGCTGTGGACTAAACCTGCAACCCAGGTACATGCCCTTGACCGGGAATCAAACCTGAGATCCTTCAGTTCTCTAGCTGATGCTCTAACACTGGCCAGGGCAGGGAACTATAATTTATTTAATCTTTCTCTTATGGCTAAACAATCAGGTCAGTTCAAATTTTTAATATTATAAATAATACTGTATAGAACATACAATTTTTAAAATGTACTTCTAATTACTTTCTTTAGTTACTTTAAAAAATAAAATGTATATGTACATTTTCCATGGTTCTTGAAATTAAAGCCCTAGTGCACTTCATTAAATATTTTGCATCATATATATAATCTCAATCTCATCTCTAAGATGTCCTTATAATACTTATTTAATCAGGTGGCCAAAAAAACTGCCATATAGAATTATCACCTTCACTTCATAAAATTCATGCATTTGTTGAAAAATCGCCATTCTAGACCATTGTGTACACTTTGTACAGTCATTTCCTTTTCTCCATATAGCCAGAAAAAAATTCATTTTATAAGCACTTACCTTGGCCAAATCAAAAGGTGTTTTGACCTCTACGGTCGTGTCAGGTTCAGCAAATGCCAGAACTTCCTGTCTGTTTCTCCCTTTCCGCCTGCTCCTCTTTAGCTGGTCTCCTAATCTCTGTCCATCTAAAATTTCTTTAAAGAAGAAGAAGAAAATATATATATGTACATAGATAGTTTGATAATAGTAGAATTATTGGTGAACTAATAGCTAACAGAGAAGATGCTTAATATTTAATTTTTTATTTATTGATTTTGTTTTTTAAATATATCTTTATTGATTTCAGAGAGAGGAAAGGAGAGGGAGAGAGAGAGATAGAAACATCAATGATGAGAGAGTCATTGATCGACTGCCTCCTGCGTGCGCGTGACTGGGGATCAAGCCCGCAACCAGGGCATGTGCCCTGACCGGGAATCAAACCCCGATTGCCTGGATCCTAGGTCGAAGCTCAACCGTTGAGCCACGCCTGGCCGGGCTATTTATTGATTTTAGAGAGAGGAAGGGGAGGAGGATGGAAAAAGAGAGAGAGAGGAATATCGATTCATTGTTTCACTTATTTATGTATTTGTTGGTTGATTCTTTTGTTTTTTTTTTGGAAGGTTAATGTGTTCAAAGATAGTTCTCCTTTGGCCTGGAGCTTCACCAATTAAGTTGCATCCTTTGATGTAAATATTGCCCAATGGTAAATGAAACCTCAGCAGCTTAACTTGGCAATTTTCCTTCATTAAGCCATGCCAAGGCAAACTGGCAGGGATGTGGGTTCTGAATGGAGAAGGTTGCAGAGCAGGTAAGTCTCTAAGAGTGAAAGCCTCCAAACAGCTGATCTTTTACATTTTAAGGGTGTCTCTCTTTTTTTTCTCTCTCTCCATAATCTCCTTCTCTTGCTCTTTGTCTCACCTCAAGTCATCTAAATCCAATTTGCCTCAAAGTCAATGAGTCAATGATTCACTTATTTTTTTTTTTTTAAATATATCTTTATTGATTTCAAAGAGGAAAGGAGAGGGAGAGAGAGAGATAGAAACATCAACGATGAGAGAGTCATTGATCGAGCCCGCAACCCGGGCATGTGCCCTGACCGGGAATTGAACCCCGATTGCCTGGATCCTAGGTCAATGCTCAGCCCCTGAGCCACGCCTGGTTGGGCATTGGTTGATTCTTATATGTGCCCTCACCAGGGATCAAACCCACAACCTTGGCATGTGGAAACGTGCTAACCAACTGAGCAACCCAGCCAGAGTGATGCTTAATATTTAAAGTCAAGACATGAAGTCAGGCAGATTTTTAAATTATATTTTCCTTTCAAACAAGAATTAAATTTAAACCATTATTTTCTAGACTGTAGTCAATGATAAAGACTACTGGCTAGGATTAAGAAGTAAAATTAGCCTGGCCAGGCATGGCTCAGCAGTTGAGCATCGATCTAGGATCCAGGAGATGGGGGTTCGGTTCCCGGTCAGGGCACATGCCAGGGTTGTGGGCTGCAGCCGATCAATGACTCTCTCATCATTGATGTTTCTGTCTCTCTCTCTCCCTCTCCTTTCCTCTCTCTGAAATCAATAAAGACATATTAAAAAAAAAAGAAGTTAAATTAAAATCTGATTATTTTAGATTATATAATAATGAGTTAGATTATTTAGTTTGACACTCATCTTTTGTACTGTTTAAAGAGTTACTTCTAAATGCTATTTATACTAAAATTGGTCAGCATTTATCTTCATCCAGGTATGCACATAACTGAAAAGTGTTTCTTTAATCCATGTGTAAATTTTTCAAACTATTCTGAAGCCACATTTATATCAGCAAACAGTATTTTTGTGATGTTTTCTAAGCTGAAAAAGTTTTACCTAGAACCATATTCTTCACAGATTGAGAGGAACTGAATTAAAAATATGTATACATATGACTCTGCTTAAGTTAGCTATGAGGAAATACAGAGTGACAAAAATACCAAGTCCTAGAAACCAGCCCATTTACCAATATGTCAATCTTTACTTAATTACATTAACTTACCATCTTTTTTGAAGGACTGCTGAAGAGCATCAGAAATCAACTCCTGGTCATTCTTTTGCCATTTGTTTATAAGCTCTTCTATGAATTGACCTTTTTTGCCCTCATTTCCCTGAAGGAGGTCAGTAACATACTCTCGTATCTCTTCAGGACTCTCAATTGAAAAAACATACCTCAGGAAGTAAAGATATAAGTTGTTGAAACAAGGGTAGCTTACACTATGTTTTTCAATGATTGTAACAGAGATCAAAGTAGTAAAAAAATCATTAATTAATCCATTAGTGTTTGAGTCAAATTCTACCCTAGATGCTAAAGATATAAATTTGATTAGGACAAAGACCCTGACCTCAAGCAGTTCATAATCTAACCTTCACAATCTTCTTGCATTTCTAAAACCAAATCAGTGTTTTGAAAATAGGCTTGTGGGGCTACCCTTAACACAGGAATATTATCTATTTTTATTTTTATTAAAATACAGTCGGCAGAATACTTACTATAACTACATATCTGTAATCATTATATTTCCCTAGGAACAATACAAATTACCTAATCTCTATATTGCAAAACCTAAAATTTCTCATTTTCACTAAAAATATGAATATACACTAAAAATTAACCAGTTGATTTAACATTCTTAAAAATTATAAATCATGATTAGCATCACATCAGAATAAGAAAATCTACAGGCATACCTTGTTTTATTGTGCTTCACAGGTGTTGGGTGTTTACAAACTGAAGGTAAGACTCTTCACCAGCAAAGAGAGATTATGACTTGCTTTATTGCAATACTCGATTTATTACAGTGGTCTGGAATCAAACCCAAAATATCTCCAAGGTATGCGTGATTTAAGGAAATTTTATAAAGGGTTCTTAAAAAGTGAGGTGGGAGTATAAGTCAGTACAACTTTTCTAGAAACTAGTCAGTATATTTAAAGTGTCTTAAAAATAATCCAATAATTCCCTTTATAGGACTTTACATGAAATAGAGACACAGAAAATTTTATGCAAAAAAGTTACCTGCATAATTATTTAAATTAGTGAAAAACCAGAAGTTACTGAAAACATCCATTCATGGAGAAGGGGCAAAAGAACTCAAGTTTTTGGACTTTACAAAATGTAATATGCCACCACTAAAAGTGAAATTTTTGAAAAATTATTATTGACCTGAGGAAATGCTCTCATATAATGGTAAGTGAAATAACAGGATAGGCATATGATCCAAGTTGCTATAAAGGAAATGTGTATATCCATCCACTTTGTGTAGAAAAAAGGATGGAAAGTTATACACCAAAATGATTATCACTGAGTGGTATGATTAAAGAGAGTTTGGGTTTGTTTTTATTTTCTTTTTCCCCTACAATGAATATGTTTGGAAAATGTATTACAATATGCATAGGAAAAAACACTATAAGAGAAATAGTGGTTAACTCTGTATTGTGATATTATGGCAATTTTAGCTTCTTCCTTAAAATTTTTTTTTTTAGTTTATTGCACAGTGAATATGCACATCATTAGAGAAGAAGTGAAAAAAAATTACTGATAACTTAAGATAATGGACCATGAAAGCATTATCAGATCCGAAGAAACTATAATTCAGATACCTAGCATGAGATACAAAAAAAATTAATAATCCTATACCCTTTAAATTTAAAACATCATGCAATTGTCCCATCAATGGTAGACAACCATTTTTAGAACTTTTACAGGTTAATCAACTTGATCCCCAAACTTACCAGCCCCCATAAAAAATCAATTGCTATTGGGGACCCAAGTCCTTCTGATGGAGGCCTCTCGCCCCCAAAATATCAATTGCTACTAAGGACTCACAGTGCTGCAAGGAACCTCAAGGGATCATTTAACCCTGGTGTATTCAAACCACTAGGAAAGTGAAACATTTGAATAAATGTCATTTTAACTATTTAATAAATTATAATAAAGAGCAACATACACTCAAATGTGTTATATACCAAATCTTATGTCAACCAAAATATGAACTAGTGCAGACTGTGGCTTTTGATGTCTCATAAATGTGTCACTGATTAGGAAAGTAAGAGCTCTTTGCTGTCTCTTTAAAAATTTCAGGCCACTCAAGTCAAATTATTCAAGTTACCAGACTAGTATAGTACACCTGGGTAATTCTCAGATACCAGGCATGGCACAGCAAATTTACACAGTAAATGCTTTCATCATGGCTGTTGTACAATAACTAGTAAAAACCTAATGCATGGTTTAAAGAGAGTTATATTATAGGTAGCTTTAGTGCTTATTTTAAGTTTTGAATAATTCTTGTATAACTTATATTTATGAATTTTTAAAAATGCAAGCGGGTATTTAACCATACTTAGTGCTTCAACTTTAAAACAAATTTCTGATCACTCCTCTTTCAAGGGTGTGGATAAGTTTAACCAAGGAAAATCTAAGTCTGCAAAATAAGCTTTTAAAAAAATACTTATAGGTATCAGTAAGTCTCAGTTTTTCTAAAATTTTTATTTATTGATTTTTAGAGAAAGAGGAAGGGAGAGAAACATTGATTTGTTGTTCCACTTATTTATGCATTCATTGGTTCCTTCTTATATGTGCCCCAACCCTGGCATATGGGGATAATGCTCTAATCAACTGAGCTAACCAGTCAGAGCCTGTAAAATAAGCTTTTAAACCACAATTTATGAGAATTAAAATTTTCCTGACGCTGTGAAGTATTTTCCGTACTTCATTGTTGATCCATTGAAAAGAGCCTCAATTTTTGCCCTGGTGGGTGTTTCTCAGTGGTTAGAGCATAGGCGGAAGCATTGAAGGGTGACAGGTACCTGGGTTGCAGGTTCCAGCCCACCCCAGGGTGGGAAGCAACCAATCAATGTCTCTCTCTCTCTCTTTCTCCCCCTCCTTCCTCCCTTCCACTCTCTCTAGAAAGCAATGGAAAAAAATACCCTCGGATGAGGATTAAAAATATATATATAGCCTCGATTTTTAAAAATTGAATGACTTTTTTTGTTTGGTATATTACCAAAAAAAGTCTCATTATTTCATTTGATCAAGTTTTGTGGAAGTTTTTCCCTCCCACCTGAACATTGCTCCTCCACCTAGCCATCCTTTAGTTCTCCGGTGAAAGTCATCTCTTGCAGTAAACTTGGCAGTTCCTCAAATCTGAAAGAGTCACTTACTCCCTGCTCCCACAACACCCTGAACTTCCTCCACCTCAGGAATCTTCAACAAGCAGAACTCAATTGTAGCAATTTTCTTTGTTGCTCTACCACCTGGCTGGTAGCCAACAAATATTTGTTAAACAAATTAGCTAAACAGATTAATCACGTCACCACCTCCATTTCATAAAAATCATATAAGATAAGCTCTACTAGTAAGTTTACAGATGAGGAAACTAAGGTACAGAAAGGGAAATTACCTTGTCCAAGGTTCCAAAACTAGTAAATGACAACAGAAACTAGAACCTGGAACTCGTAAATCAGGAGCTATTTGCACCGCACCACGCCGCCTCTATTTAAATCCTAGGTCTATTTGACACAAGCCAGATGGGGCAAACGAAAACGTTCAGAGTAAGGGATTTCTGGAAAGACAATTTGGCTTGCCACTTCTCTCCAGAATCTAGAAGGAAGCTGGCTCCCGGGACAGTCTTACAAATTCTAATTACAGGATTTTAGCATTTTTCCTAGGAAAAAAGGCCCCACCGGCCGATTGTGGACCCTGACACCCTATTCCGGAAACTAAACAATAAACCCGAAGGTCAAAATTCGGCGCCCAGAGACTAACAAACAGCCCTCTTATCACATTACTTCATTCTCAGCAACTTTTTAGTCCTCCCTGCTTCCCGGTTCGCTCAGCCCGTTCACATCACAGAGCTCCTTCCCGCCTCAGACCTGAACCGGTCTTACTGCATTATCTCCTCGCTGACATCCAGGCCAAAAGTTTTCCGCAGCTGCTGGGTGCACCAGCTCACCAGCTGCTCCCGGGACGCCACACCAGCCACCGCCATTTTCCCCAGCCGGAACCAGCTGGGCTGAGGAAGCCTCGAGTACGGCGCGGGACTAGTTCCCTTCGCAACACCGACTTCGCGCGCGCGGGTTCCGCCAGGCTGCACCGCCCCGCGCGAGGGCACCGCCCCCAGCGCAGATCCCTCCCACCTGGGCGTCTCCTCCCGCTGCCTGGCGGCGTAGTGTAGTTGAGAGCATCAGCGCGAAATTCTTCCGCATTGTCAGACGTAGGACTCGAGAAGGGAGCGTTTTGTTAAGACAGTACAAATACCTATAAAAGCTACAGTTTAGGAAAAACAAAACTATAACCCAAATTGAGGGGCCAATTTTAAATAGTCGGTTTTATGGAAACCACTTAAAAACTGGGAAGCTGCCCGGCCGGGCGTGGCTCAGCTGTTGAGCGTCGACCTAGGATCCAGGGGATCAGGGTTCGGTTCCTGGTCAGGGCACATGCCCGGGTTGCGGGCTTGATCAATGACTCTGTCGTCATTGATGTTTCTACCTCTCTCTCTCCCTCTCCTTTCCTCTCTCTGAACAGTCAATAAAGATATATTTAAAAAAAAAACTGGGAAGCTAAGGTAAAGCACTATAAGGGTTTGCTCTAGTGGTAGTGGTTGTATTAATACCGCCCCCCC